TCTCTCTCTCTCTCTCTCTCTCTCTCTCTCTCTCTCTCTCTCTCTCTCTCTCTCTCTCTCTTTCTTTTTTTTTTCTTTCCTCCCTTTCATCGCGCACGATCGAATCAAGAGTCCGTCGTCGATTTCCGCGACTCCCGTCCGACGTCTCGCACTCGATCGGCCATCGAGTTCGCCCTACGGCGGAGTCGACGGTGGAGCGTTCAATCTGGATGCGGCCCAACTCGCCGCGATCCGATGAATTATAAAATATCCACGTTTCTGAGAAGGCTTCCGGATCGCGTTATTACGAGCGCTCTTGGCTCGTCCCGCGTCATCGCCGCGGTATTACGGCCGTGTCGCGAGAGACGGGACGGCGGTGCGCCCTCTTGGCGCGCGCACGGGCCGTCATTAGCGTAAATTAACGGGGGGATCCTAGCGACCACCTTGTATCGGCGTCCAGCGCGAGGACCGGCGGCGCGCATTGTAACGATGATGTTATTATACCTGCGCCTGCAGGTAGGCCCTGCCAGGAGGATGGGGGCCCACGATGGGGGAGTGCCACTGCTCTAACATCACTATCATGCAGCTGTTCCACGAGCTGAAGCAGCAGTTCCCCGCGCTCCCTGATCACGTCGTCTCCCAGTGCATCGCCCAGGTACACAGGTGGCCTTTGTCCGTCAGGAGTGCGGCCCTATTAAACACCGACCCCCGACCCCCCCCCCCAACCCCCGTCCCCCCCTCGGATCTCCACGAGAGACACGCACAACTAACTCGTCGTCCCTAGTCGCCGCAATAACGACTAACCGCCGATGCCTGCGCAACCAACGGTTTACGACGTGCGACTTAACAAGGATTTAATAATCACGTCTCCCGCCCCCCTCGCCTTCCTCTCGCCTCCGTCATGCATCGCTAAACTCATTTGCACGAGCGTGGAACCTGTGTGTACGTTGTTTAAGTGTGTAGGTCCTCCCAGGACGGGACCGGATGTACCTTTCGTCACGCTTGAGTAAGTCGATTTGAAGACGCATATCTCCCTTCGAACGTTTTCTGGGCGCATTCAATTTCGGAAGAGGAGAACGAAATCACACGCTGCAATTGATTGGCTGGATTTTAATACAAGTGTAATTACGCGAACTTAACAGAAAAAAAGGGTCATACGGTACGGTAAACATTTGGAGAACGTTCTTCGTGATGAAAAGTATAACAGCCAAATTGACCAGAGATATTGTAATCAGAAGGGACATCCGGTTTCGGTGCTCTGGGATGTTGCGTATAAGTCTTTCCCAGCACACACGCGTGTGATACGAGCGATTAACTAATGTAATGCGACGCGTGTCCCGTGGCGTGTCTCCTAAGCCGGAAACCGACGTCGGGGACGATCGGCGGCGAGTTGACCCCAGGTACGTGTGCGTTGCAGAACAGCCACGACCGGGAGACATGCGCGAGAAGCCTGCGGGCCACCCAGGAGTCCCGTCCGTCGCCGGGCGCGTTTCCACCCCCAGCCCCGTGTATCGGGGTGCAACAGCCGCCGCCACCGCAGCCACAACCGCAGCAGCAGGCGCAGCAGCAGCCACTCGCGTCGCAGCAGCAGCGTTGCTGTACGATGAACCAAACGGTCGCGAGCAACGTCGGCGTCGGGCGCCCGCATCGACCGGCGTCGTTGGACATCGGTATGACTCGTCGCTACCCCCCCGCAGGTTGCACCCGCACCGCTGCCGCCGTCGCCGTCGCGGCCGCGACGCCGGCGGCGTCGTCCAGCGGTATCGCCGCCCCCTCGTCCGCCCCGGCCGCCTGCACGTCGCGCGGCTTCTTCGACGACGGTTGCACCGTCAATAGCAACGGCAACGGCAGCAACGCGCCGCCCGGCTTCGAGCTCAACGTCAACGTCGCCTGCAGCCCCGCGGGCAATCGCGGTACGGAAGCCGGACGTTGTCACCCCCTGCTGAAATTGATGTTGTACTCGCACTATTTAACGCTGAAAAGAGTCCCGAGTTGTAGAGCAGCTAGGGACCGCGCGTAATTTCCTCGGATTGATATTTGATTGGAAGGATCAAGCCGGGACTCGGCCAAATTGTACAAATTATCTTTCGGCAGAGATCTTTCGAAAAGAAAACAGCGGTCTTGCGACACAAATCGTTACAAGCGTTACATCGAGCGTTAAATATGTGATACGATCAAGCAGCATAGTAAGAGTTAGACCACGAGAGTATCGAACCAAAAGAGATTTGCGGTTGGACATTATCTCGCTCGCGATAACCGTAGGGAGACGTAGGATAGAGGAGTAATTAGAGAAGCGAAAGCGGATTGTATGGCAACGCTACGCGCTCTTCTCAGAGGACCGGACTCTCGCTTTCTTGCGGCGCGCCTGTTTATCGCGAATGTTACCGGAGACAATTCATTTCAGTCATGTTCACAAGCTCGCCGATTATCATTCATCCGCTCGGACGGACCAGTCCGCAAGTTGACCTCGGTCGTACATCGTCGATAAGAGGCGTCTGGTCTTTTTTTAAAGATTATCTAATCGTGATTTTATATCGGCAGATTTTCGAACGGCACCGGCGATCGGTGCCTGTAAACGAAGCGACCTCGTCGTCGTGCCACGACCTCATTACGCCGAGCCACTGCTGGCCGCCGGGAAGTCCGAGACGCAGATCGATCACACGCGAAGTTACACGTCGGTCAGCTTGACCCTCCGGCCGCCCTCCTCCGAGCCGCAGCCCCCGATCGATATTAGGTCGGAAGGATCGAGTCTGACTTACTCGACCTCGTCCTTGGACCCGCGTGGCTTCCAAAGCCGCCTGCAGATCAGCATCGGTCCTGGAAACGTTGGTAGCGTGGCGGCGGCGAGGATCAGACCGCCGATGACTAAGTCAGTCTTACCGCCGCCGTGGATTCCAAGCCCACTGCGGTCGCCTGGTAGGTTTTCATTTTAAGCGATATAGTCCTTCGAGTTTGATTTATATCAGATATATGTAAGTTACACTGACAAGTAACACTGACAAGTTACGCACATCTTGGTGCGGATACTATTAAGCCCAAAGGATTGTGCAGATCAGTCCCCTCTGCGGGAAAATATTTTCACTCTACTTGAAACTTGAAATGGTTGTAACCTGTGATAATTGTCTTTGCACACACTTATCGACTACGAGTAGCATGAAGCGGTATGGACACGTGACAGAATTCTGATTGGGTAGCTTTTACGTCCTACATCGTTGTTAGCCGTGAGAGATGAAGTTCGGCCATCTTTTACAACAGGCTTTACAATCGGAAATACTGGTTTAAAACTGTTTTACAACACTGTACAACCGCTAACAACCACGTTCACGCAATTGTAGAATGGCCTTAAGGTAAATATGCAGAATAGGTCACACCTCACCGATTTCCTCGGCACTTAGATATGTTGTAGGGGAGAGTTTTCTGAGTAATTCCTTGCAAGAATCAAGTGGGGGACGGCATTGGTTTAGGAGATATAACAAATTGAAAACTAAAAATTTTAATACTTTTTCGTAGTAATTTTTATTAAAATGCCTGTGTAGCTACCTTTAAAATCATAAACAAACTACCGTTTTCATTTACAAGGTTACACCTGCCCCCTCCCGCACCAATCGGTACGGGTTGAACACACACACGCACGCGCGCGCGCGCACGCTTAATTCTTCTCGCGGCGCAAACTGACCGAGCAAGCGAGATCCACTCTACACCTCAGACATGGTTTGGGTATGGTTATATTTTAACGAAGTGGGGCCCCCCCGAAGGGGGGGCGGAACATACTGTCTCCACGCATGTACTTCCACCATTGTACTGTTCCACATGGGTTTGCAACTTTCCACGTGAAGCGAGATCCACTCCACACCTCTGACATAGGGTGGGTAGGGTTATATTTTTAACGAAATGGGGCCCTCCCGAAGGGGGGGCGGAACATACTGTCTCCACGCATACATTTTTCTACCCACATATAAGTCACTCCCCTCCACCAAATGTAGATAGAAAAATGTATGCGTGAAGACAGTGTGTTCCGCCCCCCCTTCGGGGGGACTCCACTTCGTTAAAACTAACCCTACCCATCCTATGTCAGAGGTGTGGAGTGGATCTCGCTTCACGTGGAAAGTTGTAAACCCATGTGGAACCGTACAACGCGTGGAATTAGTTTTGCCCTCCCCCCGCCCTTGCTCTTTCCTTACCTGCGTTCAATACTGAAGGTAAATAAAAGCATTTATTGTACACAGGATGTCAGAAAATTATATTTTAGTGGTTAAACATTTTTGTTTATAATTTTTTAATAAACACCGACCGATGGCAAAAACTTCTTGAAGGTCACTCAGGGTCATGATCTTGACAACATATGTCAAGATCAAGTTCATTTGGTTGACCTTATCTAAATATTTACCAAAAAACGTATTAAAAATTTCAGTTTTCAATTTGTTATATCTCCTAAACCAATGCCGTCCCCCACTTGATTCTTGCGGGGAATTACTCAGAAAACTCTCCCCTACAACATATCTAAGTGGCGAGGAAATCGGTGAGGTGTGACCTATTCTGCATATTTACCGGCCTTAAATTGCGCATTGAGCCGAAAGAAAAAAATACGCGTTCAATATGTTTTGGTGTTCAATAAGTGTGCCAAGTTTCATTCAAATCGGTGAGTGGCAGTTGTACTGTTACTTGTGAGAGACCCATTTTGTTGACACTGAACGTATAATTTGGTTGTATAATAAAACGAACAATACGTTGCCGAAAAGAAGTTAAATGTTACAACAAACCATTTTGTTTCCATGAGTTGTTTATCTGAACAAAATTTTGAGCGTCAACTAATAATTGTATTTGTCGCGTGAACTAAATGGTTTAGTTGATTGAATATTACAAAGGGATTCTGCGCATGTTCACTCAAACAAATTTGTGTGTTGATATAACCAACTAAATTTTTGTTGGTGTATCGAAAGATTTGTTTGCCCATGTTCAAACAAGAAATTCAGTTGAGTCAACTAGATTTTGTTTCATTCAACAAACTGGGTCTCAGTGTACTCGAATACATGTATCTATACGTGTTACAATTCAACTTATATAATATTTCTATCATGAATTAAAAACTATATCTGAAAACGATTCGCTTCGATTTGGATGAACTTTTGGTTCGATTTAGATTCGAAAAAGGAACCGGAACTCGATTCGATCACAGAATCCTCGATTTACGCATCAATATTCCATTTGATAAACAAGTGTACAATTTAGAAAGAGACTTTACCGAGGAAGAGAGAGAGAGAGAGAGAGCGCGAGTGAGGAAACATATGTAATATTTGTGTAGACTGTGATGTAATATGAAACACGAAGCGCAGTGTAGGCGTGTATACACGGGGTATTCTCAGACACGCATCTCCGATTCTAATTTTAGCGAAATTACAATTGAATAAGATAAAGAACGTAGATCTCTGTAGTCGTCGAAGAATTTATTACTAAAATTAACACGGGATACTGTGTCGCATTCAGAACTTCCGCCAGAACCGCCGAGCCAATTGCCAAGGCCTACGACGACGATGAGCGCGCCGACTACACCCTCCATACCGCCGACGACGAGCATCGTCCCAGGCTGCAGCCTTCCGACGACGCCGTCCGGGCCCGCGACGAGCAGCGGCGTCGCACCTCTCGCTGCCGCCGCCGCCGCCGCCGTCGTCTCCTCCTCCGTCGGGGACCACGCGGCTTCCGATCGGAACCGATCGCCGTTGTGCCAAGGTGAAGGCATGGAACGGGATGACACGCAAGCGGGTGGCCGCGTCGCCCGCCGCCGCTTTCGCCGCTCTAGCGTTGCAGAATCGCGCGCACGTGTATATTTACCTGGAAGTCACTCGGTCGCACGTACTACGCCCACGCACGCAACGCCGGGAACGATATTTACGCATTCCTGACCCCACGCTCCGGGCTATACATAGCCGCGCGCGCCCGCGGTTACAACTACGCGGACCACCTGATCCGGTTTTTCTGATCGCGAGAGTCCGCGCGCTATCGACGCGTTCCCTGGACGCCATTTACGCTAAACGGTGTATACGTTCGCGAAGGCCTTCCGCCTTTTCCACGATCGAGCAGCGCGATAATGCTGCGGACGACGCGCGAAGAACGTCGCGCGACCGTTAATCTACGACGCAGATGCGGCAGCTGCACGGAACTGTCTTGTATCTAATCCGTTATCGAAGTGATCGATAAAGTGATATATGATCGAGTTAATGCGTCATTTGTTCGCGACAAAGTAGAATTAGAAAAATGCCGTGATTGAAGTAAGCTCTTGAAGCTCGCCTCGTGTACGTACGCGCCAACTAAGATAGTTGTTAAACTTTTTTTAGTGGAGGAGCATCAAAAGAAATTAGTCGCGGAGCAATTGGCTAGGAAGGAAAGACTCGCTAGGGAACTGAGAGCTGAGAAGGGACGACTCGAAGCGATGAAGAAGGAGGTGCAGGCATTGGCCCGACCGGTGGATCCCTCGGTATCGCCGCAAGTATGTGCGACGAGAAAGTCAATTCGTACACGAATCATCTAGACTCGGAACATAATTTAGATTTGGATCATAGAAATTCAAATAATCCGCACATCTCTAGATGACTGACATCCTTTGAATACCCGTGTATCTTAACACACAATTTTGCAGGAGCTGACGAGAAAGCTGAGGAGCGAGATATACATGCTGCAAGTCGAGTGCGACAGATTGGCCGAAGAAGTTGACCAGTGGTCAGACAGACGAGGTATCTATTTCCTATCATGCTGTCACCAAGTTAGGAGCGACTCGTAGCGAATAACTCGTACTTTCAGTACCATTGGGCGAGACCAACGAGGAGTTTTATCAGGGCATTTATACCGGCCAGTCGTTGCCGGCGAGAGTGCTGAATCTGCACCCGCCGCGCTTACCAAGTCAACCACCGGCATGGCGGCCGGAGCAGCCGACGACGGTCGCGAGTGATAACCGGGAGGAACGGGACGAGCCTTCGTGGGTCTGCAACATGTGCACCTTCGACAATCATCCATTGATGAATAAGTGCGAAGAGTGCGACATGCCGAGACTGTTGAACCGCGGCGGCAGTGCAGGTATAAGCTCCGGCAGATTGACGAGAGAATTGCCATCGACCTCGTTATCATCGTAGTGACAGTGAACCGTCCCGAATGCTGCTCCGCGAAATGGAATAATTCAATTCGTCGCCTAACAGCATGCCGATTATTTGTTACATATACTTCACGAGAATTCGTGAAGGTCGTCCCCCGCGATTATATTAATCGATTGGATTTTGATAACGCGACGAAGCGCTTGAGTAAAAGTGATATTTTATCGCGTTGTACTTTTAAGATAGTTAACAAAGTGTGCGAGTGCTGTTATAACTGTCACAAGAATTGTGTACTTCACTGCGATTAAAAATATTAATCATATTTCTAGTATAATATAAACGAGAGTGGAGCTTGCAATTTTGTTCTCATCTGTCAGAAATGTGTGTGTATGCGTTTGTTGAATTCGATATCGCACGATAAATTAACATTCCGTTTATAAATTATTGTTTTATTTCTAAGCAATTAACATCATTGATATAGCACTGATATTTCCTGGCAAACCGTATCAGCTTTGATTTTAATGCAAGGTAAGAAGGGAAATTTTATGCCTGACGAATCGGCATCATTTTGCTTAATTTTGCAGCGATGCTAATAGAGTTATGAATTTTCAGGGGAGACGCAAGATATTCATATAAGAGTAACGCATCACCACAATTTCTCGCCGCGACGTGAGTATACTCAATTAACGTACCGATGCTTCCGTTCAAACGTGATTACCTACTATTTTACGGATGTAATAGATGTCTTCCCCGTCTGCAAGAACTAATTACGACGTATTACTTTTCCAGATATAGTGCACAGTTGGGTGGTATGATGCGAACTGAATTAGAAGTTTTCAAAGAGCTGTACATAAATATTTAAAAAAAAACTACTATTTAAATAAACAAATTTTGTAGGGGTTAAGCGATTGCAATAGAGCATACGTGACTAATGTAATTTAATTTAAATTTTTTATTTACGGTTAATGCACATTGCCCGCTTTCTGGCGATTACATTTCTGTCTTCTCGAGGCAATCTCTACGCGTCTACGGATTTTCATGTATCGCAGAATAAATAGGCGCAAGCGCAACAAGAGATACATTCGAATTAAACGCTGCAAAGTTCTTTCCCCTCCAGATTCTTATTTGCACAAAAAGTCATCGTGTAATACAGTATTGTACTTGTGATAATAGCAGCAATGTCGTTTCCGCGTTATATAGCCGTACCCCTCTCCAAGTTTAGCTTCGTTTCCCGAGTATACTCGCCGTAGAATCTCTCCAGTTTTTGATTGAACTTAGCGTTGCGCTCGTTAATGTAGTCGATGTCCGCGTCGTCGTTGTGCATCCTACGCCTGCTGTATTTCTCCCGTTTGGCGATCCTGCGTAAAGAGCAAACGTCGTTAGCTCGAAGTCTTATCAAAGATTACCAGGGTTGGGAAGTAACGCGTTACTTGTAACGCCATTACCGTTTTCGTGACTTTTTTATGTCTGTAACGTCGTACTTTTGTACTTTTATCGTTACTTCAGTTTCCCATTATCTTTTATATCCGTTCAATAGATCGCGCGCATTATTCTTGACTGGACAAAAATATTCCGATATAAGACGCATGAGAATGCACTGCAAGCATTAATCGATGTCTCGATTCTATATGATCGATGACTTGCTATACAGAAACTAGTTTAAAGTTTTAATATTGATTATTAAATAACAATGTAATTTTATAATCTAACATCTTACTTTGGCATTTCAAAAAAGTAACGGTAACGCGTAACTTTTTTTAAGGTAACGTTCCCAACCCTGAAGATTACGTAATTTCATTACAAGATGACGAATATCACGTACTGCTTCTCCAAATTGGTGACCATTTTGTCTACCGCTTCCTTTTTGTCCTCGTGCAAGCCGTGCAATATCGTATTCGGATCGCCGTAGAAGGCAGGCCCCAGCTTCTCCTTCGCCTCGTCGTACATCTCCATGTTGGGCTTAATGTTTTTCACCAGTCTGTTGTAACAACGTATCGCCGCTTGTTCGTAATCCGAGAAACCTGGATCGGGATTCTGTTTGCTCCTCTTCTTCCTAGCTATTCTCTCCGCTTCCGTGGCGTCGATATTCAGCAATTTTTTCCGCTCGTAATCTTCACCCTGAAGAACCAGAGGTCGAGTGTATAGCGCAAGTTAAATAATTTCGTTGGAAGATAAAAAATACAGTCGATCCTGCGGTACCTTAGCCTCTGCGTCCTTCCTAGCGGTCTCGTCCTGCATTATCCATTCGGCTTGCCGCTTGCGGGACTCCCAATTGGCAGGCAGCTTGTTCCTCTTATCCTCCTCCACGACTTCTTTGTGGTTCTGCATTCTGGCCTCGTTCTGTTGGAATCAAATCAGCGCTCTATAGCGATAAATTGAAACGCCAAGTGCGCTTAGCAATTAAAAAATCCATTCTCGTAAATAAAGGAGCGAAATAAAGAGTTTAAAGCGTCAGAATAAATCTTGGGGGACGTCGCGTAAGCTTCGTCACCTCGGGCAGGTTATCTTTGTCCCGAACTCACCCTCTTGACGTGCAGATCTTTGAGTCGTTTCAGCCTCTCATTGTACTTCGCCCTCGCGGATTGCGAGGACGACGCACTCGGCGCCGCGTCGTCCATCGTCGAGTAGAACGAGATGCAATTTTTCCCCCCGAGTTCACGCAACGTCGCGCACGGAGGGACGACGACTTGTCAATAATCCACAAAATCGAAGGAAAGGAAACCGTTCGTTTGCGTTTTCGCAGTGGGTCGCCATCTGCAGCCTCAAAATGCAGACGTGGAACTACGTGGCTACGTTCACCTCCCGGTAGGTAAACAAACGCGCAACTGCAGCAAAAATACTGGAAAAATGGAAAGGTCACATTACATTATGTCTCAATCGTGCAATATTTCGTTATATCTCCCGAGATATAATTACATAATCGAGTGTATACGACGAGATATCTTGCAAAAAGATTGATGTTCGATTCACCCTGTTTTACCGACGCCGAATCTCGTATCGTACATACATTACTCGGCAACAGGCGATCGTGGTAAAGAGAGGCGACGCGTTGACCGGCGAGGATCAATTCTCGAATCTTTCCGTGACGCGCGGACCGGCGGGGGGAGGGCAGGGGAGGGGTCAATCTCGCGCTCGCGTGCAGAGCGCGGCGCGGCGCTTCAGAGCGCCAGATTATCAGCGCGCCCGCCAGTCCCCGTCCAGTCCGGTCGATCCACGTTGCTCGACGTTCCGCGGCCGCGTACCGGCCGATCGGCTCGGCAGCATTATCGAACTTTATCCCTCGCGCGGTCCGAGGCGCGGTAGCGACTTATCACGCAAACACCTCCCCCTCGCTCCCTCTCTTGCCCCCCGCTCAGTTCTCTTTCGCATTTTCCCTCTCCCCCCCCCCCTCTCTCTGTCTTTCCCTCTCTCGCTCTGTTCCACTCCGTTTCGCCTTTTCGTGGGCTTTTCTGGATTCCCGCGGGTAGGGCGCGGAGGCACACGAGCGCGAGCCGCATACGGGCGCAGGGCAGGGCGCGCGCCGGGGACACGGAACGGAGCGGTGCGAGGTGAGGCGCGGCGTGGCGAGGCGAGGTGAGGCGAGGCGACGCGACCAGCCGGATAAAGCGGAGCGGAGCTGTGGCGCGCGCGCGCGTGCGGCGTGAGGGCTGTGCTGTAGGCGACGCGCCAAGAGTTTAGCCGAGCGAGCGTGGCGAGCCGAGGGCCCCCGGCAGTGCGCGCGGTATGGAGACCCTCGAATCGAGCCGCGTGTGCCGCCTCTGCGGCCAGCAATCGGGCATCTCGATCAACATCTTCGACGAGAGTGAGAATCATGTCCGGAAAATCAACACCGTGCTACCGATCATGGTACGTCATTACGCTTTCTCTCCCTCTCTCTCTCTCTCTCTTGCTGCCTCTCTGCCTCTCCCTCGCTCTTCCCGCTGTACGTTCGCTCCTTCCCTCGCGCCCTCTCTTTCGCCTCCCCCTCCTGCCCCTCCGTTTCTTTCCAGCGCTCCCCTTTCGCGACTCCCTTCCCCAATCGAGGAGGGTACGCGCCCGCGTGCACTCGCTCGCGTGCACTCTCGACGTCCTTGCACAACGGCGCGACGGGGACCAGGCGTAAAAGCGCACCCTCCTGGCCGCCCCCTCTCCCCTCCCCTCCCCTTCCCTTCCCTACCCTTCCGGTCTCACCTCGTTACGAAACGCGGGATCCGTTCTCTTTACCAGCCGCGCTCCGACGCGCGCTTTCCTTCGATCCTCCCCCTCCGTCTCCTCCGCCACGTTCAACGCCGCAATTCTCCACATCCGGTTTCCGCGAACTACGGGCGAGGATAGAAAAAAAAAACCATGGAGCTTCCCCACGTGCCGTGTTGGCGAGGCAGAGCGCCGCGGAATCCCGTGGGGGGGGGGGGGCAGAGAAGGGCACCCTTTGTGCGAGCGGGGCGCGCGTCGCCGACCACGTGCGAGGGGGAGCACCGCGGGGGCGACCAATTCTCGGTTCTTTTCTCGATCGGCCTGGCCAGGGGAGGGGCAGGGGCAAAACTATCGATTTTCGGAAAGTGAGGTTATCGTCGGTTTTGCGCGCGAAACGAGCGCGCTCCGAAATATCCGAGAGCGCAGTTTACATTGCGTAATTCGAAAGAGAGAGAGAGAGAGAGAGAGAGAAAGAGAGAGAATCATTAGAATCGTTTAGAGACAGAGAAAGAGAGAAACGGAGAGTTTTCACGGGTTCCCCGCGGCGTCAGCTCGGCGATTATTTTGCGGCGCAGATCTCTGCGATCTCGTCTCGGATCAACTCCCGCACTCCGATCGCACTTTTCATTGTTCTGTCTCGCCGCGTTTCTCCATTTTTCTGTCTTCAAAGCGCACGAATTTGGAAACTCGAGTTTCTCTTGTTCTACCCAGTGAGAAATGATTCGTCGATCGACATCGACACCGTCGAATTGACGTCGATTCGACATCATTTCGACGTCGATCGACGAATCATTTCTCACTGGGTAGCGCGTTGGGGTGGAAATTTAAATATCTCACGTTCGTCGAGAATCATGGCTATTTGAAATGCGCGTACAACGATATATTTGTCGTATTTATACGTGCGTAAACGTAACGAGATGTGTCGCTGGCGCCAAAATGTTGGCGATATGTCGCTCAATGATCGATCTTTCGGAGTGAATCTAAGGCTGGTATTACATGTGTCGTACGAGGAATTTTTCAAGCGTGTTGATTGGCTGCAAGATAGTAAGATTCTCGAGTATCTGGAAATTTTTATTCAGCAGCCAATCAACACGCTTAAAAAATTTGTCGTACGACAAACGTAATATTGGGCCAAAGGCCTGAGCAGAATGGCTGTCTTGTATTCTTAAGTCGCAATACAGTTATTGTGCGCTATTTTAAGACAATGATTTAAAACATAAAACATTGCCTTAAAGCCTCGTCTACATAGAAGTTGTAAAGTCGTAGTCGTAAGAATAGTCGACTATGATTGGTCAACTCTTAAGCCTCCGCTACAATGATTCTCGGTTCTGTCTACAATGGTCGTAGTCGTAAGAATAATCGACTGCGATTGGTCAATTCTTATGCGACTGACTGAATTGACCAATCGCAGTCGATTATTCTTACGACTACGACCATTGTAGACAGAATCGAGAATCATTGTAGCGGAGGCTTTATGTGTCTGACGAAATTGACCAATCGCAGTCGATTATTCTTACGACTACGACTCTGCGACTCGCATTGTAGACCACGCATAAAAGTACATACAAGCTGCTCAGGCCCTTAAGGCTGACGTTACATTTGTCGTACGACAAATTTTTCAAGCTTGTCGACTGGCCGCAGGATAGAAAAGTTGTCGAGTATCTAAAAGTTTTCTAACTTGCAGCCAATCGACGCGCTTAAAAACTTTGTCGTACGACAAATGTACTGGTACCCTAACGTGTCCGGTATTCAAGTGGAAAATTTCTTTTTTCCAGATAAACACAGAATCCGAGAAGAATTCTCTTCGAACCTCTGAATTATAAAATAGAGTCTCTTTCCATCCCGTTTCTCTTCTAGAAACTTTCTTGAGAGTTGAAATTCGCTTTTATGTCTAAGCTTTTTCTCGGACATAAAAGAATTCTTTTTAGAACTTATAAGAATCTGCACCGAAAAGAAATTCTTCTCGACTTTTAAACAGATTGCGCTAATTCACGTGGAATTAAACAAAAATTGAATTTCTTTTAACCTCGCAACAATCATCCGTGCTATTTGGACGGGAAGTGTTAAGCATCGTGACGTGAACTGCACACTAATTATATTAATTAATATGTAAAAATTTATTGAAGGACAGTAATAATTGATGTCAATTAATTCCCAGATAGCCAGTACGCTCAAGCAATGTATGGAAATAAAATGGAATATGATTTCACTGTTTGAATTATTTAAATACAGCTAGCATAATGTTAACATACTGTCGTAGTTAAGTGCTAACGCTAAAACAGCTAAAGAGAGAGCACACATCGAATGGGCATACTGTTTCAACAATGAGTCAGCATACATCATTTTCAACTTTCTCACAGATATAAACATGTTACATCTATTACATCTGGCCAAGCACTTAATGCTAGCATAATGTTTGGATCATGCAAATGTTTCGCTTTCGATATCACATGGCTAGCAGGCAGCAGCACAATAGACGACATAGATGCATAGCAAGATGCTAACAGTTTTGTTAGCAATACGAAAACAACTTGCGCTCACACTGGCTACCTGGATTGTAACGAATATGTCTAGTAAAACAAGGAGAATAATTAGTCCACAGATTCCGAGTAAATATTGTAATAAATTTTTCTAACGTTGCCTGGAAAAATAGCGAGTCATTTTCAAGTGTTCGTAAATATTTTATAATCATGCCCGCACTCAAAATTAATTCAGCTTGTCCTCAGTTTCTTCTCGAATTTACAAGTAACCTTATTTGTCAAATTATAAGTAATCGAGACAATCTCGAGATACGATATCTCGGAGTTAGCTGACCCGTTCGCGCGAATGTTATCGCACACACGTGCTTAACGCGTAGGGATAAACAATTCGAAATCGCGATAGATCAAGCGCGCAACAAGTGCAGCTTAATGTCCTGGGTGCTTTCCTCTTATTGACACAAGTTGATACAAGTATAATTTTCTCCTCGTTCGCTGGATGTTGAAAAAAAAGTTGAAACTTGCGTCGCTAAATGGACAGCACCACTGGTCACTTGGTTGAAACTCACCGCAAGGTGCGGAACGTGCCTTCGCGTTTCCAGCTGTATTTCTCGCACATTTCAAAATGCCATAAATCAAAGATCAGAATCTAGAAATCGGTTCTTCGGCCAGTCGTGAGATACAAATAATTAAATGTGACTCGCGTGTGATTAAGACGAAACCACTCCGAAGCAATTAGCAAGGGTAGGGTCTAATGAGAGCGATAATGGTAATGAGCGGAAATTTCCGACCGTCGTACGCGTGTCTGTTACAAGCGACAATGTACGCTCATTTACTCTTTTATTTTTTTTCTGCAATTCGAGAATTCGATCCAGCGTCTGCTCGGTATTTCGCGACCCGTGAATAACCGGACAGCGATTGCGCAACAATCGAGCCGTTCGGTGCAACAAGATCGCGGTGATTTTTTCCTCCTTCCCTCTTCTTGCGGAAACTTGGAAGCGTAAGTGCCAGTCTACAATAGAGATTTGAACCCTTATAAGCTTTAAGAAATTGACTAATCACAGTCGCGTATTCTACTCATACTTGATCGTGATTGGTCCATTTTTTAAAGCTTAGGGCTTAAATCATCTATTGTAGACTGGGACTAAAAGTCTGTCTTACAATTAGTCGTAGACGTAAGGCAAGGCAGAGAAAAACTTAAGGGTCAGAGCACAAAGCAATGTAATTATACTTATTTATGTATATAATTACATAAGCTAATTACATAAGAAAAAAATTTCGATTAATCTTTTCTCCGAATCGAAGCTAATTTCTTCATAAAGGATTGCAAAAGTTGGAACAAATATCGTACCGAACTCCTTGATCGGCGCTCGATTGATGCCCCGAGAGTCCGCGGACCCCTTCTGACCCCTGTTTACTGTGCGTTTCCCCAGGTGCACGAGATGGATCTACTGCCGAAACAGATGTGCCACCGGTGCAGCTACAAGTTGGAGGAATTCCACAAGTTCTACCTAGAGTGCTGGAAGACGGACACGGCGCTCAAGAATCAGCTGTCGTGGATGCGGAAGGGTGGCGGCAGGGAGAAGACCGGCGTGCCGATGGTGCACATCGAGAACGTGAAGATCAAAGCGGAGCCGGTCGATTACGATGTGTACGAGCTGGAGCCGCTGGTGGAGAACATCGACTACATCAACTCGATGAACTCGGTGGCGTTTCCGGCCGGCGGCATTCCCGACGGGTTGACGTACGCTGCGTTCTCGCGCTGCCGATGCTGCTGTGATAAGAAGGACCAAAGCAGACCGAGGAGAACCGCAGCGGGGCTCTGCCAGAATTACGAGGGACAGATGCCGGAATGCGGCAGAATCGCGGACGTCTCGCGGAAGCAGACTCTCGACGACACCGCCGCACGATTGAAGCCGTTTAAGCGGAGCCTGTTTGCGCAGTCGGCGTTCCCAGATTGTCCGCAGAATCGTCCACCGCGCCGCGTCAACGACCACGGGAGAGCGCGAGATCGTCTGTCCGCAGACACCAGTACCAAAGAAGGTGTAGCCCCGCCGGAAACGCGGAATCATTCTCACGGTGAACTCTCCGGCGTCTTTCCTTCTAAGAGCCGGATGATTGCCAAGAGCACAGTAGTTCGGAATCTGAGACCCAGGAAGAATCTGGTGAACTATGCGCAGGAAAGGAAGAAACTGTCGAGTGTCATTCCGGGACCATCCGCGTTGAGCAAGTCGAGCGTCTCTCACGCGAGGACGTTATCTTCGGACTTCGAGCCGACGCGGCAGACGGATGAGTCCGTAGGACGTAGCTTAAGGCCGAGGAAGAATGTCGTAGACTATCAGGAGCCAAAGATGAGGAAAGCCTCGGAGCATCGCGCGAAGAGGCGCAAGACGGACGAGCAGAGTTCGAAACTGTATTCGAAAAACGAGAGTGCGTCGAGCTCTTTAAACCTCAAAATAAAGCAGGAGGTTCTAGACAATTTGGAGGATGTGATGCTCAGTGAAACGACCAACGTGACGCCTCGATTACCGAGCAAATTTGTCGCTTTACCCGCGAAGGTCGAGGCAACGACGAACAACAATGACGTCAGTCTAAGAGACGACTATCTCAAGTCGCAATTTCGAGGTCAGTTCCAACTGGCCGAGCGAAGGTCGTTCTCCAACATTATGAAGAACAGGTTGGAGAGGCCGAAGAAGACGTGTCGGTTCCCCACGGCAAACTGTTCGCCGAAGTGTCTGAGAAGTCAGGACGTTTATTTGAGGAACGGCAAGGCGAGGAAGAACGATTATGTAGAGTGGTCGGTGAAGAGACTGCAGACGAGGAAGCTGGTGGACACGATCAACAAAGGCGCGAAGAAGTCATCGATGCTGAAGCTGTCCGAGAACATCAAGCGCTATTGCGAGACATGCAATGCCAGTTTTAAGAATAATGAATTGTTCAGATTACATGCGTGTTACTACGATTGATCTTTCCCCAAATTTTCGAGAGACACGAAAGCCACGAGTTGTCTGAAGATTGTACAAAAGATTGAGCTCATTGGCGACGGAAAGGTTATTTTGGGGGGAAAGGCTGCAGCCCCTCTTCCTTCTCGAACAGATAGATGATGGCGAAGGAAGCTCCCGTAATTGATAGAAACGAAAGTAAAAATATGAAATCAGTAAAAGTTTATTAAACTTCAATAATGTATTGTATCTATAACAAAAGATATAACAAATATCATTGAATGAAGGTAATATTTTATTTTGAATGAATCTTTTTAGTTTTAAAGTCGAAAAATAGACGCGAAGATATCTTTATACTGTTATTGCGACAAATATTACCACATACCACAGTGGTCGAATTAGTGAAACGCCCGTCTAGAAAGTAGGGAAGTCCAGGTTCAAACCCTGGGTGAGGTAATATTTTTCGTAATGTATTAAAACACTGGCCGGTTAATGTCAATTGGCTTGATTATTGCTTTCTAGTTTTACTGACAAAAAAAATTGAATATTTTTACCACGGTGATTTGTTTGGGATGTCATTTTTATCATATAATATTATAATTATCATTTTAATATGTAATTATAGTATTATGTATTATTATAATTATCATAATCATAAATATCGACAGACTAAGTCTCTATAACTCAACTTTTTTTCGTGTCCAAAAAGGAATTACGTAACGCGAAGCCAGCATTTTTAATTTTTTATTATAAGGAAACGGTTTGTAACTTGAAATGAGGTGCTACGCTAAATTTTGTGTGTGTGTGATAAAAAATAAAATTAAAAAAATATAGATATATGAATTTGTGAATTAAAAGTCACAAGGCGTGTAGAGGGTTAATATGCAATATAGCATCTAATTTTTATAGGTTCAACAAGTAACAAAAGACTGATTTATAATGTTGGAGGTTCAATTTTGGGGAGGAAGAGGGTGTAGCTTAGTCCTTACCTTTCGCCAATGATTAAGATGTCTTCAAGGTATCTCTGCTAACAGTCGAAGAAAATGGGCACTTCTTGTCGAAGTATAAAAAATGCATAAAGGGGATTAAAAATTCATGTGATTGAATGACAATGTGTGTATATATCTTTCAATTTGCTTCTCTTTTTTTTAATATCTTGCTCACAAAATGGAAAGTGCTTTTGTTTAAGTTTATATATTATAAGGATAACGAGATGATAGTTTATAAAATGTGCCTGTCCTGAAAAATTTGACCAAATTCTTATACTTACTTTTTGCAATATCGACTAATTGATTTTTTTTACTTCTTGATTCATTCGATTTTTCTTTTCGAAATCAATTCTCTTGATAGAATAGATTATTGTATTATCAAGTGCAAGGGTAAATGGGAAAATAGCAGGTTCTTTATGTACATAACGTACTTTATTTAGATTTCATATTATCTGGTACTATCTTTAATATATGATTTATGTTCCATAAGCGATATAGATGTATATTGCATAATATTATATGTACCCATGTACATACTTAGATTTTGTTTGACTTAAATACGTTGAACTATGACGATTGTTGCGACATACGCTTAAGATTTTATGTAGAAATTCACAAGTCGCCTTCAAAGATTGAGAAATAATTATACGAATATAGAGATAGAGGTATATTTTATGAGAGAAAAAGAAATATATATTATATGTCGATATTCGATGAAAACATGTGATATGTGTATAAAAATAATAACCGACTTTTTGGAGAACTCCAAAGTTATGTAAGTCGACGGATGTAATAGTCCAAAATTGAAATCTTTCTACTGGTACACCGCAATTTTGTATATTAGTATATACGATCTCCATAGTTTAACGATTGTTCGAAAAAGAATTACATTGCACTCCATAAAAAGTTAAACACAAGTTTACTTTATGGGGATTTAATATATTCAAATTTATATTAATCGCCATCATTGGACACACGCTGTAAAATATTTGTTAAATGACTAATTACATTCTATTTTTTCAGCATTGTTGAATAAATCGAGTTATGTCATTAAATCTTTCATTCACGGCGATCATGCAGATAAATTACATCGATTAGCTGCATAGGTTTATGCAGTCCCTTATTGTTGCAAAGTGTTTCCCTGAATTATCTGTCTGTCGATACACAAAGAAATAGTTATTGTTATATGCGGTAGATATATCTTTCTCATATCATTTAACTGATTAATAAATGTTATATAATTATATATACGTGTAAAATATGCAATTGCAATGATTATAAAGTCACCGTCCCGATCTTCCATCATTTTTCTCGTATCTTCTTAAAAGCTCTACATGTATACAATATTAACTGACACTGTTATAAAGTGAACATGGCAGATCTGAAACGGCAATAAAATGTTTCGAAAAGTACAATTTCTAATTTTCTAATTACGAGATTCTTTTAACTAACTAATACGATTAATGGTTTGAGGAAAAGATTTTATTGTGTAATCTGCACGTTTAAACGTGACTTTATAATTTATACGCTGGAGGGAGGAACCCAAACAGAGAGCACAGGTGATCGTAATGAAAAGGATTCAGTTCTTTCTTTATGAATTAGCGTAATCTGTTGAAAATGAACGCCAAAAGAACTCCATTCCGATGTAAATTCTTATAGAATGTGAAGTAAAAAGAATATTTTTTTTATCCGAAAAAGAGCTCGTAATCGACAAGGAAACGAATTATTTTCAAACTCTTAAGAATGTTCTTAGAACACACATACGGCGGAAAATTATAAATTAAATTTGGGGATTCCAAAAGAACGCTTTTTAGATTGCGCAACCCGAGATACGACCAACTCTGTTTTTACGCGGTTTTTCGAAAATTTTGTAATCTCGCGCACTTATTTTTAATTCCTAATAATGAATTAATAGAAATTTTGCTATCGGACTCGTCTCCCCATATTCACGTTAAGAAGTTAACAAGCGAGTGATATCCTAGGCAGGTCATTATTTTCAATCGTTACATCTCCAATCACATTTCAGCAGTTTGGCCGTCATTGTCAATTATGATTCGATCGTCATTCATACATAGTTCGTTCATTCTCTTATTCTCTTGGAACTCAGCCATCCCTGGCAAAAATAATATGTTTATAAGAAGTTTGTTTAAATGTTGAGTCAACGTTTTATTTGAGTTTTAAAACATTTACTGAATCGTTTGTGAAATATAAATTCAAACATGGAGTTGTTTGTGCCACGTTCACGGTTACACGTGTTCAAATTGCGCTTAATGAATACAATGTCAAACGTTTCCATTATAGTTTCCTAAGTGTTTGCAAAATGTTATTGTCGGTAAAGAATTAACCAGGTGTTTGCAACGCACTTCCAACATCAATAAAACTCTTCATAAATAAATATAAACGTCATCTCTCGCTTAAAATTTTCGCCAGGGATGTAAACAGCTTTCAATACAAAACTTTAGTTCATTACACTATTTTCTCCAAATAAACGTTGTGCCTGAAAATTATTGAAAAATTATTGTACATCATAATTTTCCTTATAAAATTCAATGTAGCTCGGTGAAATATAAAGAAAGTTAAAATATACTGTTGAAAAGGAATTTAAAAAATTGTGAAACATACTGTTTAATTTTTAGACATGTTTCTGAATTTAACTGAGTCTCTCTCTCTCTCTCTCTCTCTCGTTGTTTTCTAACGAAAATAATTTTCCACTAAATTTTCTTGAAATATCAATAAAATCATAATAAAGTAGGGCCAATTGGGAGAGATTTTCAAATACCTCCCGAAACATCGACGCCAATTTCACGGTGCCGATGTCGACTCGACGTCGATCGACGAATCGTTTCCCGCTGGGCTTTTCAGTTTAAAACTTCATTATATTTCCAGCAGAGAGAAACCTGAGAGCGGCCACGCCGGGCGTTTTACTTGATACCGTTTTCTTCGACAAGACGTTTCTCTCTGTTTCCAGTAAAATTTGCCAGCAGGGTATTGGCGGATGTGTTTAAAAGGGACTGCCCGTCGCTGCGCGATCGCAGCGTTGTGGCAACCGAACGAATTACAGGTGACAAACAAACAAAAAGTATGGCAGGTGTCAAGCGGTTCGTGAGGAATGACCGGTTGTACACGGCGGTTTGATTCGATCTAACTGCGGCGGAGGAAGGGCGAGATGTCTTCGGGCGCCAGGAAATCGCCGCGAATCGAAGACGTGAGTTTTGCGCGCTGTTATTCGCCCGCGGGCCGCGCGCGCCTAACCTAAACCCGTACCTAGACCGAACGTCGAATCGTTCGCTCTACGAGGCTTTCAAACGTACAACGCTTCTCCCTTCGGCAAACAGAACGAGTGACGAGTTTCACGCGTCCCGAATCTCTTTCTTCTAGTTGATTTCCACGGAGGATGACACTTTGGGATCCTCCATAAGTCTAAGCGTCGGGGAGAACTCGGTGCGCATCAAGGAGAGACCTAGGGCCACCAAGGAAGCCGAACAGCCATCGGCCGACAGGAGGGACGCGCCGGACAAGTGGTGGTTGAAGCGGCCCGAGACGCGTCTGGGTGTCCTGAGTGCCCGGAGTGCAAAGGCGAAGCAGTCTCCTCCTCCTTCGTCGGACGTCAGCTCTTCTATGAAAGAGTTCCTCGAGAAAGAGAGGATGTGCAAGGTGATTGGCTGAGACAAGCGACGTCGCGAGGAGGGACGTTTTCCTCGTGACGGAGAACTGTATTCGTAATTACTTTTTATTCCCCCCCCCTATCGTTTCTGACATGTTGCTTCGAACGACTTTCAGGCAGTATCCAAAAGCGAAGGAGAAGCGAAAGACAAGGATGACACGTTATGCGACATACTCGCGTCTGCGGCTTTTGACAAGTATCCGTCGGACTTTGAAAGTAAGTTTTCGCGTAGCACGTAAAGCCGGAGCTCTCCCCTGATTGGCGCTTTCGCTCGTCTAATTTGCTTTGCTGTCCCGTGCAGATGCCACTGACGAAGATATCGGCAGTATTTTGGAGGAAATGAGCAAAATCGCGGGTGCATTGAGTCCTAATTCGTGTCCCGAGCGTACCAAGTCCGGCGGTTCCAGTAAGAATCCCACCGAGGAAGAGAAGTCCGTGGAAGAATTATTGGAAGAGGCCGAGAAGCTAGTCAGGGAGAATTGTAACACCCTCTCGAAGAGTATATCGAAGTCTGATACTCTAATGCCGGAGAACCAAGACGAAAGCTTGAACAGGGTGAGGCAATTGGAGGCTGACATTTTTCAATTAATAGAGGAAGAGGTGCACAGGGAAACGGAGAAAATAAAGAGGAGTCCGAAAAACGAGAGGAAACGGGAGGGCAGTCCAGGAATCGAGATTGTTTACGAAAACCTGAGTAGCTTGAGACCGCCGAAAACGCTGGAACTGCAAAGGAGAAAGTTCGAGGAGCAGAAGGTCGAGATATCGAGCAGTTCCGATTTGGACGATCCGATTGAGAGGCATTCCAAGTCCGAGGAGCTGAGGAACACGAAGAAAGTTGAGATGGAGAAAGAGAATCTGCAGAAGGAGATCACGGACGTGGACAAGGACTTTTTCGAAGATTTGCTGCGAAGATCTAAGGAGAAGGCGGAGGGCGGGATGTCTGGAAGTTCGAGTTTCGGGCAGGAAGATTTCTCGCATTTCTTGAAGCTCCTTCAAGGGCAGAACACGGAGAAAACGGAGCCGGAATCAAAAGGGCCTAACGCGATGTATGATCTCTTTTTGAAATCTACTAATGGCGAAATAGTATCGGCCGAGGAGAGTCAATTAACTAGTGGCAAAACCCCAGAATTCCCGGAAAAAGAATTTTCCGAGATATTGGAAAAGGAATTACCGGGCATTAACGGTGCACACGCGGATCACGAAATTATCGACAGCGATTCCAGCGTGAGCGAAGGACGACACAGAGGGGCCCTGAATTCTCTGTCAGGCGGGACAACGTTCTTGAAATATTCTAGCAATAAATCAAGGAAGGCTATATCTAAGGTCGTAGAGAAAGAAAGCGATAAAAATGCGACAGAAGCCAATAAAAAGGTAGTTAATTTCGAAGATGAGTTGTATACGGTAGGATTGACGCCGAGATTAGAACTATTCGCGGATGCGATACCAAAACTCATGGCTGAAAAGTTAAATGAAAATGTTGCGAAAGAGAACGCGGAGAAAGCGGATTCCGCGCACAAGGAATCTCCTCGTTCAGAAACGAGTGCGAACACAAGAGCGGAAAATTCACATGTCGCACCAAAGATTCCGATGACGCATAATCACGAAGCACCTGATCATGGCGTTTCGAATAAAGCAATAGATGTATCTAAAACCGACCGCGTTGTTAGTGCACCGAGTAATAAGCAATCGAGCAAAGAGATAAGGTTCTGCAAGTCCAAGAGCTACGATCAGATATGCCAGCCTCCCCTGAGAACCTCCCTCGAAAATATCAGAGTTAACAAAGCGTTAGACATATCTAAAAAACCTGTAAATTCGTTTTCCAAAAAATCATCCATGATAAAGCCGAAAGTACAATCCCGACCGATCGCCAAAACCGCGTCGAAGCCTAACTTAAGATCAAAGCTGGATCCTGTTAAAGTTGGCTCTACATCCAGCTTGCCAGCTGCGTGCAAAGGGCCCCAGTTAAAGTCACCCGACAGTCACAGGAAGAATTTCATGGCCGCCGGAGATTCGAAGCAGATTCCGACGAAACGCGATTGGGAGACGTTATGTCGCGAGGAGAGACACAAGAACATGCTGCTGAAGCAACAGTTGGAGGCCGAGGCGAAGCTGTACAAGAGTCAAATCGAGGAGATGCGTACGTCCTTCGAAACAGAGCTGTTCGCCCTGAAGAAGCAAAATATAATCTTGAAGGCGAGAATGGACGAGTTCTCTCTGAGCGAGAGGCGCGCGGAGATCCCTGCCAAGAACGATACGAAAATTACTCTCTTAGAACAGGAACTGGAGAAGCAGGAGAGTCTGATTCGCGCTTATGAGACTGAGAACAAGAAGCTGATGCAGGATACGAAACGCATGCAAGAGGAATTGAAGAATTTGCAGTCCAAGCAGAAGAACACGATGTCAGAGGCGAACGATGCGCAACAACTCGCCGATCGGATGAAGGATCTCCAGGAGGAGACGTTGAAGTTGACCTTGGAGGTGTCCGAGCTGAGAGAAAAGAATGCCGATTACCTGCTGAAGAACGACGACCTGATTCAACAGAACAGTCTGCTCACGGACGAATTGGATATGTTCAAGGAGCAGTTGAGAGCGAAGAACAACTTTATCACGGATCGGCTGCAAGTCATGACCACCACGGAGCTAGAATTTAAGAAACAGATTGAGGATCTGAGTATCAAGTTGAGCTCCAAATCGGAGCAATTGCGAGTGACCAAACAGGAGTTGGAACAGTTTCAGCGGGGCGTATTGCCCTTGGAACAGGAACTGCAGGCGCTCAGAGCCAGGGAGGGGAATTTCCAAGAGAAACTGCAGATAAGCAAGAGCCACGTTGAGCGTGAAAAGCAGCTGACCCAGAGGCTCAAGGATCAGGTTATTCTGGACAACAAGAAGGTCATGGACCTGAACAGACAAGTGCGCGAATTGGAGCGTATACTCAAGAGGAAGAATCCTGACTCAGTATCGGCTCTCATACTGACCGCCAACTCGGAACAGGACAGGATTGGTTCCGAGAAGGTGAAGCTCCTGGAGGAGAGAATAGCGAGTCTCGAGAACGAGATCAAGGCCAAGGAGGATACCGCGCAGCAGAATCTGGTTGAACTGCAGAAGAAGTTCTCCGACATGAAGGAGAAATACACGACGCAGGTGATGGAGTTGGAGGCGAAACTGTTGGAGGCAACTGCGAAAGAACGCAAATTGTACAATGACATGTTCACGCAAACGACGGTGAAGCACGTCGAGAGCAAGAGCGTGGAGAATAACAAGAAAGATGACAGAGCTTCGACCGTAGAGGACAAGAAGGAAAAGATGAAGGCTGGGCCGAAGTCGCAAAATCCGAAGGAAGACGCGCATCTCATCGCCACTATAAGAGGCCTGAAGCTGGAGATCGCGAACAAGGATAAAACGGTCTCAAAAATAACCAAGGATTATCAGGAGCTGCAAAAGACAAACCGGCGACTGCAGAAGGAGCGGGAGAAACTGCTGAACGATCGTAGGAGCTTCAGGAGCATGGATTTCGACAAGGCGTTCCGAGGAATGAAGAACGGCGAGGGGAATGATCAGAATTCGAATGTCTATCAGAACGGGCACGTTTCCGACTCGCAGAGGCTGTCGTCGTCGACGCCCAAGTTGTACGATCCGATGCAGTACACGGAGAACGGCAAGAATGGGACTATCAAGAAGTTGACCAACGAAAACGACATCCTGAAGGAAGAGCTGAGCAAAATGAACAAGGACTTCATGGCGCTGAAGAGCAAGAGGCTGCACGATTTGAATCTCTTGCAGGAGGAACACGAGCGAGAGATGGCGGCTCTCGTGAAGGAATACAGCGTCAAGATCGGAGATTCTAAAGCGGTAAAGTTACAGGTTTGTAACGCTTGGCAAACACCTGACCTGTCCCTTATTTCATTTGCTTCTTATCGTCTGGTGCAAGAAAAATCTGGTGGCATCTTTTGAGTAGAACAAACCTCCGCTTCGCTTATGTCTCAATATATTTATCTGCTATGACACTAAGAATTTTATAATTTTTATTAGGATCAGATTAATGCTCAGGGAGCAATAATATCGCACTTAAAAGAACAAATGGAAAAGTTTAGAGATTATAAGGAGCAGGTGGTCATGTTGAAGGCCGAGAGAGAACACTTGGAGAATAGAGTGAGGACGCTGACCGAGAAAGTCAAATACTTATCAACGCCGGTACGTGAAAACTAGTCGAATTTTTAAGGCAGCCCGTGGCATGTTTCTTTCTCCATTCCAGGGAACGGAACAATTACAGTTGCTGCAAGACAAGATCACAATTCTCCAGCAACGACACGAGAGCAGGGAGATGACCTTGCAGACGTTAATTCGCGACTTACTGAGGAATCGAACGCAGTGCAAAGATTGCAAGAATGAAAAGGGCAAGAAGCGGCAACTTTGCTATTTCCGGCAAGAACTCGATCATATCTTGGGGATGCTACAGGAGATCGCTAACATCCATTGATTATCGCTGAATCGAAAGAGCATCCCTAAATAGTTGCAGCGCATTTATATGGTTTCTCGGTTCGTCATCGAATATTGTGATAATTTTTACAAGAGTAAGGTTTGCGATGTAGCTTAAATAATTCGAGAGAGGCATTAGGCGTCGAGGCATAGGTGCGTAAACGCGCTCGTTCGCGTCACTCAGCCAAAATGTTTAGTCCGTACTTCCGTCAACTCTTCCAGAATTGATGAGGACTATTGTAATGCGCGATCTTCTTTCTTGCGTCCGTGACACCGTTCGTTCTGCGAGGTCGTCTATCAGTATAGAGTTCGCAAATGACTCGGTAGGCTCGGATCACTGCCAAAGAGAGCAACGTTACCGCGTCACTAGCGGTAGCGTACGAACGAACGTACAATTGAGTTACAAACCTTTTCCGATCTCTCTCCGTCGCCAATTTTCTTGCCACGCGCGCGCATTGTCTGTGAACACTGCCCGCTATTAGCATAATCTACTTGATTGAATCAAAAATTAATTTTTAGACTAAGTCCGTACACTTTTAGGATTACATATATTTTTTATTTATTATTTATTTATTTATTGACTCCGAGTAAAATGGCACGGCTGCTTGCAACGTTTCTCCAAATCGATGTTGCTGCAGCTTGTTTTCTTCTCATAGTAAATTGTATAGCATTACAATTGGACGGGGGAAAAAGAAAATAGAATATACAAAGATATCTTCGTAAGGGTTTCTTCCAAAGTTAAATGATATCTAGTTTTTTACGGATAATTTTTTCGAAACTTTGCTGTACATATAGGCGTATAAGAGACTAAACCGCTATATTTATTTCGGGTAATACTCCACGTCGGTTTATTCGCGATCAACGAAGTCGACTATATCATGTATATCGTATCGTAAGTACTCTAGTTTATTACTATTGTTGCCAAGCCTAGCTGGTGATCTCGTCAAATGTAGCCTTGTCTGTATGCGTCGTAATATGCGCAAGCACACCGCTCGATGTGCCGAACATGCACATGCATGCAAGCACAAATTGATGTGGCCGAGACCTGAGGACGAACAATCAGCATACGTAGAATACCTATCTTTCGTATTTTCAAGATAAAATTTGACTCTCTTTGAAACTGTTATCTTCCCGAGGCTCGGTCACGTCCAAGTACACACAATCACATTCCTTTTCTAAATAGATTTAAGCTTGTCACGCGCAATGTACAAAATTCAAAATTATAACTTTAATAAATTTAATCTTTTCGCCGAGAAGGATCGATATTTCCCTCAGCGGCGGTATAGCGCAGGTTCGAAATTCGTTTCAAGCAATATTCACCCGGCACTTGTCGAATAAAATAAAATATATAGAATATTTATCATTTATATAAACATGTAAATCGTTTACTATCTAAATGTTAAAGAAAAAATAGTGACAGAAGGTCTCGAAAAATTGTCACAACAAATTTAACTACAACTGCAACTATTTATTTTCGCACAAAATATATCTTCTTAGACATTCATTTCTACGGAGCATATACGAGCTGTACATTAATCTACACTCTGAGTACTCTCAGAAATAGTACACATATCGCAACGTAATATCTTAATTCACAAAATAACGAGATCGACAGAGAAGCAGAAGTCCAGGGAATAGCAATTTTCGGTGCCGTGTTCTTTTTTTTTTGGTAGCCGATTTCCATTTTACCAAATTATGAAGCGCTGCGCATTCTGCATTATGTTGTTGCTGAAAGAACAGACGTTAGAAATATTATTCGTGTCGGTTTTAAAATTACTTTAATTATTATTGATAACATTCTGTTCCGAAGATCAAAATTGCGTACGGCCGAAGCTGAATTATGATTATTTTATTGTTCATAGCATGCGCTTTAAGAAATGTCAGTAACTTCTTGCCTTACCCGAGGGAGGATTGTTTCCCGTTATAAAGGGAAAGCCCATAAACGGTACATAATGCCACGACGAAAGCTTGCCTCATGAGATCGTAGGCAATAGGATATTTGAAAAATTCATAGTCCTTCATTGAAATAGGAGCGACTTTTGTTTTGATTTCCATCTTCCTCTCAACGCGCGCGTCCTGCAAATTTCGTTCCCGTTTTGTGGATAATCGTTCATTGTCTACGGTTCTAGCGAGCATCCTCTCAGCAGACAACCTTCGTTGTACGCGATTTTGTTCAGGTACGTGGGCGACTCGGCGAGGAGAAGAGAGTCTCGATGAGTCTTCGATGTTCCTCGCTGATCTCTGGCGCAAGTGTCTGGCGGATTCTCTCTCACGAAACTCGGTGGGTCGAGCCTCGACTGATCGAGCCACCCGGCGCTCCTTGAGATGTCTGATCTCGCGTTGCGTTTTTGACGAACGTAGAACTTGATTCTCGAGGGCTGCTGCTCTAGAATTCGCGCTGCGCTCCATCGAGAGCACAGAGATCGAGTTTCGCAATTCGGAGTTGCGTTCCACGCGTCGATCCTGCATCCT